GCCCTGTTGAATACTCAGAGACTCAGCTGTATTCCACCACAGTGAGCATCCTGCATCCACACTTTGGGGCTCAGCATTGCTTTGAGCCACTCCAAACACATTTGCCCATAAGTATTGGGCATTTCACCCAAGGCTTTTCTGCCCCTTCCCTTGCTGTTATCATTTGGGACTACAGAATTCCACCCTCAGCTGGATCCCTAAGCTGTGGAACCTCACTCTGAGCTGGATCCCCAAACCAATCTTGCTAAGGAGGATGAAGAGAAGGAGAGAATGAAACTTCAGGCAAATAATTCATATGATTGCTCAGTGAAAAACAACAATCACAACAAAAGAACACAAACCCAACCAACCAAACAGCCAGCAAGAAAGAGAGGCAGGAGATGTGCAGTTTCAGGTGGATGGCCTTCATACTGCAATGCAGAAAGCAGTTTAGTTAGTTAAGAGCAACTGTGAGGTCGCAGCTCTGATAAACAAACATCTTATTCAATCATCTGCCAGACTGAACAGGTCAATAAAAGTGCTTTTTTACCCTTGACACGAGCTGAAACACTTGCAGACCTCAGCTTGGCCCTGCCTGGCTGTGTCTAATCCTGGCTACATTCACTGGCCCTGATCCTGACCCTGACTCCAACTCATGGGCTCACGTTCCCATCCCCAAAGAGGTGCCAGACAGCCTGAGCTGCAGGCTGCCCCCATCCTTCTCCAGAACTGGGATTCAGTTCCAGATTAAGACTCAACCTTGATGTCTACAAGCAGTGTCTAAGCAAGCAAGAGTTGTTTCTGCTCCAGTCATCAGTGGAGATATAAACAGTACAGTCACTAAAGTCATGCCAGGGTCATTTTGCCAACAGATACAGTTTAGCCAGAGTAGGATTTAAACTCTCCCAGCCTCCAAAATGAGACAGGCAGATTCAAACTCTCTGTTTGGAAGACTTCTTGGTCTGTGCTAATTCAGCCAAAACCATTTCCACCCTTGGGTCCTGGCAGTGTTTTATTTCCTAGAATAGATGTTGCTTAGATATCTGCCTTAAAAGAAGATTAATTGTTCTCTGAGCTCCACTGACTGCATTCTCTAAGAGTTGGATTCAGGTGCTCAGCCATAGGTGTCTCGTGCCACTTGTGATAGTGTAGGATATTTAATCCAAAGAGTCCAGGTCTCATATGTGTTCTGTGTTTTAGAATCACAGACCTATAATGTGACCACCAGTTGGGATTGGGAGGGACCTTAAAGACCACCTAGTTCCACCCCCCCTGCCATGGACAGGGACACCTTCCACTAGAGCAGGTTGCTCAGTATCTAATAACCTGACTGGGATGTAGCCAGCAAATCAGCAGCATCATGGACTCAGATGACTCAGTAAAGGTTGTTTTGGAATTTAGTTATCTAGAATAAGTTTATATATATGATTCAGTAAGGGAATCCCACACTAGAATTCCTGAGTTCAGCACTCCCTCTACCACCTAAAGAACATGGCCATGAAGGGACACTTGCTCCTGATGCAGTTGATGAGAGTAAACATGCAATGGAGGCTTTGCTGGAGTGAGAAATTCAACACTGTAAAAATTTCTCCCCTTTTACTACACTGTGAGTAGGGCTTAATCCTTCAGACCTACTAACAACCTAAATCAACCCATATAATTTTTTTAAGTTGATATCTTGTGATAGTCAGATTAGAGACCCACAGGTGGCTACTTGAACATGTCCATCTCTTGCTTATTCCACACAAAACAATATCTAAATATGTTCCTATTCATCTTGTACCTCTGAAACTAGTGGAGAACAAGGAGCAAAGTCCAGAATCAAAGATGTATGACATCTAAATTATTCTAGGCATCAGCTTTGACCCCACTTAGAGAGCAGCTGTCCTTCCCCTGCATCACTGGGTGCTCATGTTGGATACAGACTGTGGCTACTTCATACCCATGATATAATGTTAAGGCATTTTAAATACAAACTTGATTCAGGTATTTTAAACTTGTAGTTGAAGACTCTTCTCACTGCAAAAGCCCAGAAAATGAAGATATCAAGGGTCCTGAGTGGTGGGAACAAAATTTCAGTTGTCCCTCATAAGGTTACATCCCTTCCTAGGGGCCTGTGCCATTTCTGTCTTTGAGTTTAGCCTCGATGCTTTCAGTGGCCTCATTCCCTGGTTTATTTTGTCTGTCTCTTCCCAGTCTTTGCTTTTGTATACTTAGTTCACTTTCATTATTTCAGTTTTTCATTATTAGTTCACTAACCATAAGTTTGGCTCCACTTTGGGTGGTATGTTTTAACTGCTCCCCTGACACTGGCACTGAAGCATGAAATAATCTCTGGGCACCCTCTCTGGTGTACGTCCTCCTTAAATATTTTTTCTGAGTTCTGAGATGTACTCACTGCTGCTTGCCTTATGTTTGTCATGTTTCTGTCTTCCCCTCATTCTGCAGACTTTTTAGTTCACATTTAAGAAACTGGGACAGGAAGGAAAGAAAAAGGAGGATGGTTGTGAATTACAGCTTTAAACAAAGAGATGGCTAAGACAATAAAAAATCCTTACAATTACCCAGTCTGACTTTCCTCATACATCTGAAAGTTATGTAACATGATCATTTACGATAACCTTCCCCAGACCTATTAAGCAGTGTAATGATGAAAACAAAATGATTAAACCAAGGTGAAGGATTGGGAACCAAAGCCGCTTCAAAATTTTAACTCATACTCCTCCCTAAGGTAATTAAGCTTTTTAAACACTAAATTGACAGGGTTTAGGTGCTTCAATTCTATTCACTATTTCAAAAACCATTCACAAATGCATATGAAAATTAGAGACAGCCTCAGAGCTGTGCTCAGTGCATGAACTCTTGTCCTTTTTGAAGCCAAAGAGACTTTCACCACTAACATCAACTGTCCAACAGTTTCTTTCCTGGTGCTTTTTGTACAAGCACTGATACAGTTTTCAAGAAAGGCAACTATTCTGTGACAAACAGAGCTCATAGCTTGGTAGCTCTTTTGCCCCATGGGAATATTGTACCTCACTGCTAAAAAGCTTTATAATAAAATGTAGGAGATGGTATAAATAGACTCAGTGATGCCACTAGGTCAGTAAAAAACCCTAATTCCTTCAGAGATGGTTGGACAGTACCACATCTTTCTTGTGTTTTTTGGTCTTACTTATTGTTAATTTGAAAATGCATCTATTTGTCCTGTGAGAGGATGTGCTTGGCAAAGAAATTACAAGCAGCTACCACCGAGCACAGATGTTCATTGTCATCATTGATAGCAACAAATATCATCAGTCCAAACCAAGATCACTCCTCTAAGGGGAAAGTATATATAGCTATCATTAAAAAACCTCAGCCTCAGATCCTTGATAGTTCAGTAACTCACAGTTTTGCCAGTGGGGATGATAGAAGTTTCTTTGTTGTGATGGATGCATTTGCCATTACTCACCATACCGGTTCTCCCCTCCCCTCCAGCTGTTTTACTGTGGTACAATATCCAAAACCCATGAATCTTGCAATATCCCAGCAGCCCGCTCTGTAACATTCCAGCCTGACAAAATTGGAGCTAATAGTTCAAACAAGCTGAAACATCAAGTGGGAAGGAGTGAAAGAAGACTTTTCATTAAAGGCATTGACTATTGGGGAACTGGGAGATAAATGGTGATCTGGTAACCATCCTTGTCAAATGAGAAAGTGTCAATGTATTGATTGTCTCATTACCACTGAATTAATTACAGTTGTATCTCTCTCTAGATATTTAACTTATAGCTTGATATTAGGACTTGATTTCCTTGACAAAATGATGAGGTTTTGTTTCAAGATTCTCTGAAGTTTTAGGTTTGTATTTTTTTTTTGTTTTTTTATTTCTTTTCAACATGAATAGTATGTTTTTCCAAAGGATGGTGACCTGGAAAATTAATTTCTGCTTATCCATGCAAACAGACATAATATCTCTGCAAATTTCCAGTCTGCCAGCTCCTTCTGAGATATTTCTCTGAACCTAAAGCTAAAAGAAAAAGGCTTTGCATCTATTTCACTGGAACTGGTATGAGTCTATATTCACAATGTGATGGAGTCCAATGACAGCTCTACAGAAAAAATGAATTTAAATTATCTCCAAACTTCCTGTTTATATGTTTATCCAGTTATTACAAGATCAGCTGCCTTCCCAATTTGGGGATCTACCTGAGATTATTGTCACTGAACAGTCCCCACCTAAAGCCAACAGCAGTAGGAAAACTGTTCAAGGTCTAGAAGAGCTGTCCAGGGCAGTGGTGGAGTCACCATCCCTGGAAGGGCTTTAAGCCCTTTAAGATGTGTAGATGTGACACTTGGGAACATGTGGTGAATTTGGCAGTGCTGGGGGAAGGCTTGGACTCCATGACCTTAGAAGTCTTTTCCAACCTAAACAATTCTATGCTTCTGTGAGCAAATGGTGCACTGCATTAAATGCAGCATTTCAGAACAGAAGCCCCATGTGAAATAAGTTCATGAATTTTTACTTCTGCTCTTCTAGTATATTTTTTTGTTTGCTTATTTGGTTAGTACTGTTATATTTGATAGAAATGATCTGATGTGTCTTCTCATCATCCATTTATTTCCAGTTGCCCACTTAGACAGATATGGAAGTACTGGCATGGGAAGGAAGGTTAGGCATCTTTTCTCAGTTCTTTTGGGAAAATAACCATAGGTGCAAACCAACCTGGGTGTCTTAATAGACAGGGCAGCTTGGTTTTCAGCTAGCTCTTTTTTCTTTGTGTGATATTATCAAACATCATTTAGGTATTTATTTATGTTCTTATTTTGAAATGATTTATTTTCTACTTTGATCTTTGAAGGTGTCATAATGAATAGGGTGAAATCTAATATTGGATCATATCTATCTAGCAGGTACATCAGAGCAATTGTCAAGAAATCCAATGCTGTTAGGCTTTGCAGGATAATTTATCTTTGTTTTAATGATGTAAAAAAAAACCCCTCTTGGAGAAGAAAACAAAAATACATTATTTCACAGGTGCTTATGATTTTTACTGTTTTTACACAAGGGATACAATTAACACATTATTAGTTCTATTTTTATTTTTTATTGTTCGGTGGCTTTTTAAGGTAAAACTGTTTTCATTGTTTGATTTCAGATCCAGAGTGAGAGACAAAAAGATCAAGGGAGCACATAGCTTTGCTTGCCAGGTTCAGCTGTGGAGATCATGTTGCTGAAGGAGAACCAAAGACGGTCATAATTGGCAAAATCACTCAAATCAGTTCTTAACTATGCATTCCCTCATCTGGGTTTCATTCACAACTTCTTTCACCCCAAACATATTTACAGCTTTTGGAGGCTGAATCCTGTTAAATTGCACCATTGGTAGCTCCTCCACATGCAGAAACCATGCTTGATCTTAGCTGTGTGCTGCAAGAGAGCAGAAACCACAAAGTCTAAGTTGAAAAACATCCTTTTCCTCCCATTTTAAGTGCTGGACAATCCTGTTCACTGGCAGAAGAAGAGAGGGATTATTATCCTTTGAAGGAAGCAGCCTAAGAAACCATGGCCATGCAGTCTGAGAGCAGACAGACACTTGTTGTCTGTGTTGAATTTTTATCTACAACTTGTATTAGGCTTTGATTCTTTAGGAGCAATAGTGAGGGAGACACTTCTGAATCCAGATCTTTACAATAACACCTCCCATCACTTTCATCCATCTCAATATCTCTGGGTTTTTTTCCCTTTTATAATCAAGTACAACTTGTAAAATGATAATAATTACCTCACTAGACAGATATGAAGCTTAATTAAATAAAGGCTGATTATCAAAAACTTGGAGCATGTGCAGAGCCTGTTTGCTATAGCATTTCTTTTGCTAAGCTTTTCTGCAGATCAAGCCTAGGCTGTACAAGAAATGATATGAATCATCTGTATCAAAAGAAATATGACTCATTCAAGGCAGAGCCATCCAAGACCACAAACGAGACATTATTTTGATAATGAGAGATTTATAGAAGAGACACAGAGAGAAGGATCTCCTGGTTCTTTTAACCCAGCCCCTATTCTAGGCCCCTACACAATCTCCTTAAAAATGTAATAATCTTCACTTGAACATCTTGACTGAGAAGGACTAGCCAGCAATTCATACAAGATAGAAAGCAGATGAGCCTCCGTCATTTTTACACCTAAACTCAAACCAGACTTCATCAAGTTCCTCTGTTCTTTTACTGCTGGTTGGAAGCTGAGACTGGAAGTGGAAATGCCAAAGCATCCCAAAGATGGGCAGCATTTGGGATGGGATGAGAAGCAGATGTTGAAGAAATCTCTGAAGAGATGATCTTCTCACAGAAATTTCAAAGTTGTTTTTTTTTTTTCACAATTCAAGCCCAAGACTTCAAAAAACAGGTGTATGCAGCCTCCACTCCAAAAGACCTCTCTTTGAAATACCTTTTGTGGCACATCCAAAAGTCATTGGAAATATCATGGAGCATCTCAAAAGGATGAGGGCCAACAGGTGAGTCACTAACCCAAGTCATCCATGTACCTTGATTTTAACTGCCCAGCTGAAGGTAAGTTAAACCCAGTATAGTGAAGGTGCCCTGCCCACATCAGGGGATTGAAACAAGATGATATTTAAGCTCTCTCCAAACTCAAAGCCCCATCCAACCTGGCCTTGAACACCCTCAGAGATGGGAATGTGTCTCGAGTTAAGAACAGACTGAAATCTATCCCTCTCCTGTATCATTGTCTTTCTTTGTGGCATCAAATTGGATGTTGGGTCAAAGTTCTTTCTACATTTTAATTTCCATGGAACTTAATTGACTAATTGGCCTCATCCAGTAGTAGAGTTAACTACACTGAAGATTGTTCAGCTTCTGTGGTGAGAAGATTTAAGAAACTATTGTGACTCAAACCTGGTCAAATAGAGAAATCCATTATATTGTCTCATTTTAAAAAGGCATAGGTGGGATTAATCTTACCTGAGTGTGTTTAAAGTCTTCATGACTTTAGTCATGCTAACACACCTAAAGGTGCAGTGATTATTTGCAATTAAAATTGTATGCCTCACAACTAAGAAAAATAGACTCTTTCAGCAAGTCTTTCATCTCACCTATGTTAAATTCATATTTTAGGTCTACTGATCTCAGAATTACCTGTCTCCCCCACTGCATACAAAGGGAATCTATAACAACCTCCTTAAATTTAGACTTTGAAACTATAAACACCTAAATTCCATCTGAAAAAAGCACTGAGGCATAACTTAACACCTTAACTCTAACCAGAAACCTGGCTGCAAGCATCTTCTGACAGAATATTTACAATAAGATATTTGTTCATGGAAAACTATTTTTTTAAAGGCAAAAATTAAATTTAAGAATGAATGAGTTATATTGAAAGTTTTATGGGTCTACAAGGAGCTAACACAACATAACATTTGGACTCAAGAGGGGTTTTTAAGAGCAACCAAACCAAATGGGTATTAAGTGAGGTTACTGTAAACACATTCATAAAATATTACTTCTTTCTAGGTGTGCATTATCTTTATGGTTGCCATATACCCAAGTATTAGTATTTTTGCCTTGAATTCTTGCAAAATCTCAGAATGCTTTATAGTGATTGATTAATTAATTAATCAGAGCTCAAACTCATTCTCTTGGATAGAAAACTACCTGGTGGGTTCCCTAAAGTATGGAGTCCCCTATGGTTGGTGAAGAAGTGGGGTGGGAAAGGAAATCTTTTTGCCTCCTGCTTTTCCCCCAGGAATTGGGGTGGCACTTTCATAGTGCACCACAAGGCTCAGGCTACAAGTTTTCATCCCAACCCTTTTGACCAGGTACCTGTGAATATCTGGAACTGCTGGTGGGAGAGTTCATGAAATGAAGAGCAGCTTTACATTCCACCAAGCACATTGTTTTAAAATAAACAGATACTTTACTCACATTTATTAAAGCCAAAAGGGATTTGGAAACAAATGTCATTTCCTAAACAACTGGAGGTTTCTCAATAGGTTTGAGGTGTTTCTATCTCTGAGGGACATGTGAAGCTCATCTCACTAACACCCATTAAAGGTGACATTAAAGTCAGTGTTAAGCACTTGGAACAAGCCAGTCTTCCAGTTTCTGTGTATGGATTCAATCCCAAAGAAGTAGGAATCTCCAGACAGTGAGTCACTCCATCCTGAAGCAGGTTCCTTGTTGATTAACCAGGACTTGGAGTCTAATCTATACACAAACAGCATGAAGAGAGCTTAATCCCTTCAAAAACAATCAGCTACTGCTATAATGCAAGTCTTACCCAAATTACATCAGGCTCTTTTAGTACCAAGTCAACCAGACCACTTGTTTCAAGCTCAAATAAACATCTCCAGTAACAACCAAAACCAAATGTGAGAATTACCAACATAAATGTTCGTTCCAATGAAAAAATAAATCCCTGTATTCTAAGGCTATTCGGCTTAAATCAAACAACCAGCTAACCTTTGAACCAGCACTGGGAAGTTTCCATTCCAATGAGAGATTTAGGAATTCATGCCAACAACCTACACTCCATCCCCAGTTGGCAGGAGGTTGGCAGGGATACAAAAAAACATGTTAACAATGCTGCTTTTTTTCTATATATACAGTAAACCTTATGTGTATCAACACACTTGTTTAAACAGCTTTTTGAATCTGCCTCACAATCTTCATGAATACATAAAAAGTTCCAGATGTTAAAATGTCCCAGGACGTGCATTTTAACCAACTTTGTTCTGCATTTGTGGCCTGACATGCAAAGAGGGCATATTGATTAGAATTACTGGCATACTTACTGTTTCAGCTTTCCTGCTTCCTACTGAGCGGTATTTGCCATGGAATGACTTGTCTTTGTGCTATTTATTCCTAGCACGCTGCTCTTGGGATCCTGGATGCTTTGGAAATTCCCTTTCCAGCAGCAGCTGGAGAGTTGAGAAGGGAAGAAAAAAAGCAGGGGGAGCCTTTGCACCAGTGCAAAGTCACTGTTTACTTTAACTCTTACCCATTATTAAATTTAAGACTTGGAATCCCCTGTAGCCATTTGCTTTCATTAACAGTGAGCATGTGTGCACAGCCAGAAAATCCAGGGCCTGGGAGGAGCACACTGCAGTACAGTTTCAGCAATGCCTGATGGAAGTGAGGTATCCTGGATGATTTGCATGGGAATTATCATAAAGGCTAAGAGGAGCTTAAAATCAGATTTTGTGATTCTTTCTGGCCTTGCTTGCATTGATGTCATACCAATGCCACATTTCTGATTTTGGTTTAGCTACTTCTGAACAAGAATAAATATAGTTTAGTTAGAACTTTCTGGAGTCTCTTAATTGCTCTGCTATTAAAAAAACAAAGCACTTAGATCAAGGTCTGTAAAAGGCTGATGCAGGCTGTGCTCCTTTGTACTTGGAGTGACATCCTAGAATGTTATCTAGTTCATTTATTGCAAATACCCAAAAGAGGCACCACAGAAAGCAGCAGGTACTCACTTGATGGAGTAACTCAAATGATGACATTTCAGCTCCCTGGTGAGTCAGCTGGCACCATCAGGACTGACAAAGAACTCTCCAGGGACTATGTGCATGTTTTACCCTGTGACTTTTCAGTTAACAGCGCACACATGATGACAGGAGCAGGAGTCTTGCATCCCAGCACACAAGCCTGCTGCAAAGCAATTTTGCCTCTTTTTCCCCTGGCCCCATAAAATTTGCATTCCTCCCTGCAGGACAGCCTGTGCCTGGTGTTAGGAACGAAGGATAAGTCATTTCCTCCATTGTCCTCCTTTGCCCCGAATCTCCTGTTGTAGACTAAATTTTGATGTGGAAGATACCTTCTGGGGAAGGCTGGCCATGTGTTCTTCAGGACCATGATATTTCAGCTGAACTCACTCTGGCAGAGTTAGGAGCAGCCTGTGCAAGCCTGGCTTGGGCACCTGACACCATGGACCAGGCACAACAGCAGCTGACTCAGCAGGGACACAAAGCCCCAGGTACAATTTGGGGATAAATGAGAGGTGGGCAGGTGGGAGGAGCTTCACAAACTTGGCTACAGCTGCGAGTGCAGGGTCAGGGGTGGGACAAAATAACCTACATTTGACCTTTTGACTTAAACTTCTGGGGATTCTGATTAAAATTAAATATAAGTGTGAGCTGGCACCCTCTCTCTTCTCCACTGACAGTGTTGGCTACTTCCCATAGCAGGATATTTAATACTTGGAAAACCACAGGCACCTGTATGCTGAAAGCACTGAAGTGCCTTTAACTCTCTCCCTTTATCTCTGAGTGGCACTTTTTGTATTTGTATGCTTCATCTGGCAGTGCCAAAATATAGGCATAGGATTTAGGTGTTATCCAAGCGTTGGGAGCGTGGCCTCCTGCTCCAAGATTTTGCCTTATAGTGGCAGCAAAAGGACAGATAAAGGACAGATGATGGAGGACACTGCAGCAATATAAATAATGCTTAAAAACATCAGGTGTACCAAAGCTTTAATAGGTTGAAGCCTTTGGCTCCTTAATAATTAGATCAGCAATCTAAAAAAATGCATCTCAAACACTTCAGAAATTTATTTGTATTGGAGGAGTTAACTGCAGGAAGAGTTAATTCACCTCACCTAATTTTAACCATCAGAAAGTCAGGCATCTGTCTACACTGTTTAATCACTTCCTCTAACAGCCAGTGGAGAGAGACACAAACCTCTAGAAATGGTCTAATCCATCCCAATATAAGATGAGCTGCACTCTGGAGGATCTTGTCTGCTTGCATTGACTACTGAGAGACAATCAATAGCTTAGACAACCAGCTTGGATTAAGAACATGCCATCTAGACATGTGACATTCTGTGAGACTCATCTCCCTCCCAGATATTCAGGATTCCTTTAAAAATCTCATCATGAGTGTTGTTGCAGAAACAAATACTGTTTTTTTCATATTTATGCTTCCCAGAAGCAACTTTAGATTTCAAGTGTATCTTTTTTTTCTCCAGCAATGATTCACTGCCATTCTGCTCTTCCCCTGTTTAGCACACATAGATCTGCATGTGTATGCATATATATCTACTATCTAGATGAACTAACTGTAGCTGCATTTTATGGCATTGGCATAAATTTATAGCATTTTATGGCATGAAGCATGCATGCATTTTATGGCATTTGAACAGTGAAATCTGACAAAGCCTCCAAATTTCTGCATTGAATTCCAGGCATGGAATACTTTTTTGTATTAACTATTCATGGAGTTTACACACAAGGGTTTTAGTTGGAAAGGACATTAGAGCTCATCCAGTTGCAAATCCCCTGCCATGGGCAGCAACACCTTCCACTCCTACAGGTTGCTCAGACCTGGGCAAACAGCTGGAAATTAAAAGCCCTACCAAATTATGATTAATTTTATATGCCTGAGGGTTATTTTTAAACCACCCTCCCCTAGGTGCTGTAGTTGCCTCGTTCTGGGATACTTAAGTCTTGCAAAATTTTGAACCTCTCTCATCATTTCTTCCAAACTAAAGTCAGCTGAAGCTTTTAAAGTTCACACTTAAAATTAGCTTCTTGTCTGTTGAGTCTGATATATGTTTGAATCTATAGCTTGTGCTTCTGACCTATGGACAGTGGCTGTTAGATGCACAGTTAAAATAATCAGCTTTTATCATCATTTGAAGCCAGAAAGAAAAAACAAACAAAACCAAAACAACAACAATAAAACTCACACAAAGACACAAATACAACAAAACAAAACAAAAAAGAACCAAAGACAAAAAAAAAAATCCAAACAATACATACATAGTCTGTTTATATCCTAATAATATCAGATGAACTTTGCTTTTTTTTGCAGGAAAATAAATTACCAGATAAATAGCTTGCTTGGATACTAAACAGATTAGCCCTTCATGCCATTTAAAGGGAGAAAACTACTTTGTAACAGGAAAATTATTTTTATATCTCCTATCTCACCTGGTGCATTTCCCTTCCATTCTACTGATAATCCTAACATACTTTTTATTAAGAGCAATTCCAGACCCCATTATTGTTCCAAGTTCTGACATTCACATAGGAAATGAAAAACTGCTCTAACCTTCCTTCCTGCTCATAAAGTCCTGGAAGAGGTGGATAAGACCACAGAATCTTTTGACTTAGGGTAGATTTTTTTTCTCTGCATTTGCATAAATCCTCCAGGCAGGCAGGAAGAGACAATATTTCAAACTCAATCCCAAATATTTCATTTGGAGCAGTTATCTCATAATTACAGAGCTGAAGCCAATTAGCAAAAACAGAAACTTGTGGAATAATTCTGTGCTTTAGAGATGGAGGAAGGGACGAAGCTTTTGGGCTTTAACATGCATTATATGCAGATCTACAGCAATTCCTTTGCCTGGAGGGTGCACACACCCTGGGCACATTGATCCAAACACCTTTTCCTTGAGGAAAAGTTTTCTGTTGTGAGACAACATGATGATTTAATAAAACAATGAAATGTTATGGGCAATCTGAGGCACGGGCTTTATTTGCCCACCAAAAATGCACTGAGAATTTGGAGTCTGCACTGAGAATATAATAGTCTTTGGCAGGGAACTAGTGTCCACATGAGGAACCTCCCTGGAAGCCAGGTAATTGCAGGGTGGGAAAATCCTTTTCTTTAACATCACCTGACCCTCAGAATCTGCAGTAACAACTACCCCCAGTGTTGTGTGGGCCCAGAATACAGTGAGGTGAAGATGGAACTCTGGGTTTCTGCAACTTCTGCTGGGAAGCTTCCTTTGAAAATCCCTCAGATTCCTCACTCCCTCACCTGCAGGTTGGACTTGGTGATTCAAGGTTATTCCTGCCTCATGTCTTATCCTTGAAGGTTTCCAACCCACAAATTTGCTGCTCTACCACATGCTACTTCTGTTTGTAGGACACAGACTGCTCAAGTGTTTTACAGGTGGACTGGAGGCCATGGTGAGGACGGGATGGGGACAGAACTTCTCCATCTTCATGATATATTTATCATTTATGAATCAGATATGTCCTGTCTAAATAGACAAACCTTAGGAGCTGGACTTGATAATCCTTGTGAGTCCCTTCCAGCTCAGAACATTCTTTGATTCTAATTTCTGCAGCATTTTTTGCAAGTGAAAATTTGGGTATGTTTTTCCTCACATTAAGATCAGACCCTGTCCCTGAGTATAACAACAATCACAGGGTTCCCTGTGATTAATGTCCTTTTGGCCAAACAAAAAGTGTGAGGGATGCAGTCTAAAAGGTTCCATCACCAGTTCCCAAGCTCAGGAATGAGGAGCAGAGTCTCGAAGCACAGCTGTGTCTACAGTAGGTTGCAAGCAGAGCTGCCACAAGCACAGGATGTGTCCTGTTCTCTGTGCCATGCCAAGAGCTCCACTGCAAACCCTTTGTAGACCACTTATAAGGTCTCTGGGGAGAACTTAGAGCATCTCCAGTGTCTAGAGGGGCTCCAAGAGAGCTGGAGAGAGACTTCAGACAAGGGCCTGGAGTGACAGGACAAGTGGGGCTAGTTTTCCACTGACAGAGGGCAGGGTTATGTAAATATAGGGAGAAATTCTTTTCTGCGAGGCTAGTGAAGCCCTGGCACAGGTTACCCAGAGAGGCTGTGGCTGCCCCAAGATTCCTGGAAATGCTCAAGGCCAGGCTGGATGGGGCTTGGAGCAACCTTGTCTAGTGGAAACTGTCTCTGCTCATGGCAGAGGGTTGGAATGAGAAGATCTTTAAGGTCTCTTCCAACCCAAACCATCCTATAACACCGTAACAAGTGTCTTGGAGTGACTTTCCTAAATCACATGCATGCAATACATAGATCCCAGCTTTGCACAGAGATTCAGTGTCAAAGGATGAGCAAATTTACCCTTCTGATTCAGCTCAAGGCCAGCTGAAAGGAACAATCCAAATAATCAACTCTTTCTGAATGAGATCCCTGATGCAGAAGTGCCATGTCACCACTGCTGGCAGTCAATCACTTGATGACCCCTTGAAATAGTCTGGATCTCTGGCTGTAGCTGGATAAGAGGCAGTCTGCAGCTCCTGGGATACTTCACAGTGTAGGACTATGGAGGTTTATTCCTGAAATGGGTGAAGATGCTGAAGATCCTGTCCACTACAAATGTCAAAGCAGGGAGGATAAAATGCTCCTGCCCATCAGCTTTCCTTAAGTGCAGGAAGTCCACCCGTGGGTGTTGCCAGCCCTGCCTACACTGATGGTGTTTCTGCCTACTAATAAATTAGTCCTGTGTAGTTAACATCCAAATTTGACTTGGATATTTCCAAAATTTGTTCTATTTTCCCATATATGTAGTACATATATATGTATATATACATATATGTGTGTGTGTGTGTATATATATGTACATATATATGTACTACAAGGAAAGCATGTATATATGTGTACCTCAAGGAAAGTTATTTACACAAGGCTAATAAAATCACTTGAAGGAGATCCTGTGTCATATTGGTTCTAGCCTATCTCAAATGGCATGACTGGGTGCTTTGCTATGAAAATTTAAGGAATATTCTGCATTTCATCAAAAGGCCAAAAATGTGAGCCAATTCCTTTACAGTGGACAACACTGAAAAAATTAAGGCCAGGTCCTTTTTCTGCTGAATCAATTATAATTTTGCTCTTGATTGAAATAAAAGCTGAATGAGACTTCATAACTACTTCCCTGAGTACTTTAATAGCCAACCCTGTGTCTTTATAATGCCTGTATTTATATGGCTTACTCATTTAATTACATCCTTTCCCTTTCATTTATGTTACAAATAAACAGAAACTGTTTAGCCAATGCCTAAAAAAAAATATATATGAATATTTGTTACAGTGACAACTAAAAGATAGGATTCTCCTCTGGCCCTGCATTTATTATGGATAAATTTGGTCCAATCATTTTTATTAAACTCATTATAAAACAGACCACACACTAGTTTATTTTAGAAATGTTTAATCAGGGTTTTAAAATTATTAGCAT